CCCCGTGTCCCTCGGTGTTCTTCCTGTCCCGCCGTGTGCTCCCCGTGTCCCTCGGTGTTCTTCCTGTCCCGCCGTGTGCTCCCCGTGTCCCTCCGTGTTCTTCCTGTCCCGCCGTGTGCTCCCCGTGTCCCTCCGTGTTCTTCCTGTCCCGCCGTGTGCTCCCCGTGTCCCTCTGTGGACTTCTCTTGTATCTCCGTGTGCTCACTATGTTCTTCCCATGTTACTCTATGTGCTCCCTTTGGCTGACCTCCCCCCGCTGGGTCCCCATGCTGGATGTGAAGCTACTCACATTACTGTCTGAACTGCGGCCGAGATTGCAATCATGAGAAAACACGGGATCTCAGCCGGCAAGATGGGCTGCCTTCCCTCTCACTCCGATGGCAGCAAGCGTAGGTTAGATCACTGGTTTGGCTGCTGCTGCTACACTGCGGTGCCCTGGGAACCTTTTAAAATGCAGTTAAACATGCTCTGTGGGTTCAGACCTTGCTCTATCATTCATTAACACATAAACAATTAAGTAATACAGCAGGTCATTGCCACAGCGAGTACAATATAAGCCATGCTAAGAAAAGGTAAATAAATAAACATTTTTAAGAAGCCCCCCCTCTTTCTGTGCAAAGTGAACCTGTTCTGCTCATGTTATGTAGGCGCTCAAGCTCGCCAAAGCTGAAAAAACACAGCCATGTTGACCTTGGAGCGGAGAAGCGCAGCAAAATCGCAGGTGTAATGTTACGTCAAGTGGAGGCGCTGCGCTGTTCAGGAGCAAGGACACACACACACATACATACAGACTGACACACACACACACCCACACACACACAAAGAGATAGACACCTCTACTGGGTCACACTCGGTCCCAGCAAAAACCAGCCCCGCTTTACTGGAGACACTGCACATAGTGATGAGATATGCTGACTGTCAGAGAGCGCCCCCCTCTGGTTCAAAATGGGGAGAGGGGGTTTTTGTCGGGCACTGGAAACCTTTCAAAGGCCCTAAGTGGTTTGGACCTCTTTTGCTGGAATCCGGATTTACATCGGAATCGACCGTAAGCACAGAGGTCGGAATTCCAGACCGCTAGACACAGCAGCTGTGTTTCACTCCAAAGCCTGTTCTTAAAACTTCGTTCAAAAAAGGCGTTTCAGGTGGGGGTGGGGGTGGGGGTGGGGGGGGGACACAGGGGGCCGTGATCTGTCACCCCACAGTGGCGGAGCTGGCCACTGCTGGGTTGTTTACATATCCCTGGAATAATTACGGAGTGGTAGATGGGGGGGGGGGGGGCATAAGGGGCGGTGCGGTGAGGTCTGCATGCTGCCTCCACCTCCTGATGGATTATCCCACTTCGACAATTATGCTCCTAATTACTGCTCACCATGATGCAGTGCAACGGCTCTCCACCCTGCGGCCTGCAGCACAGCAGTGTCCCCACCCCCTAACCATGATGCAGTGTGGTAGCTTTCCACCCTGTGGCCTGCAGCACAGCAGTGCCCACACAATGATGCAGTGCGGCATCTTTCCACCCTGCGGCCTGCACTGCAGCAACACCCCCACCCTCCCCACCGTGATGCAGTGTGGCGTCTCTCCACCCTGTGGCCTGCAGCACAGCAGTGCTTGCCTTAATGTGATGTCCCTCCCCAGTGAAGAGCTGGGTGAAAGATCTCAAAGTCTTGATGAAAGTTCTTTTAAGTCCCGCTCCTTGTCTCCCCATGAGCAGATTTCTGAAAAACCACCAAGAGCATTTACAAAAGGCTGTTTAGTTTGTCTGTGGAGCGATTGTGGAGCTTTTGTGGAGTGTTTGTGTGGAGCGTTTACGGAATGTTTGTGTGGAGCGTTTACGGCGCGTTCATGTGGAGCGTTTACGGCGCGTTAGTGTGGAGCGTTTACCGACCGTTTGTGTGGAGCATTTACGGCGCGTTCGTTTGGAGCGTTTACGGAATGTTTGTTTGGAGCGTTTGTGGAGTGTTTGTGTGGAGCGTTTATGGAATGTTTATGTGGAGCGTTTACGGCGCGTTCGTATGGAGCGTTTACGGCGCGTTAGTGTGGAGCGTTTACCGACCGTTTGTGTGGAGCATTTATGGAGCGTTCGTGCGGATCGTTTACGGAGCATTCCTGTGGAGCATTTGCAGAGCATTTATGGAGCGCTTCTTTCTCAGTAAGGCAAGTAAATCCAGCCACAGTCTGTAAATGCCCACTGCTGCTCTCAGATGATTTGTTTCTATAACAGGTTTGGTATTAGAACACCGGTCGACATCAGGAATAGCCCCTTCGGACCAAAAATCACTGACCAGCGCCTGATCAAGAGCACGACACTGGGTCTGGGGAAGGTGCAGGGTGCGAGCTGTGACAGGCAGTCACCCCCTCCCACTCTGTTAGAGATTTTGGCCAATTTATGACATGTGCATCCCAGCCGACATGGTGTAAAGGTGAGCTCATACCACATACGGAGCACAGCGCCCCCTGGCTGCAGACGTGAGGCTGAGGTCACCAGGCTTTAAGTTTCCCAAGGAGCCGCTCTTCAGAGGATTACTTCATCCCACCCCCCACATCCAGCCTTCCCTGCTGTCATCGCTCCCCCCCCTTCACACCATAACAGCCCTTGGCTGGCGGATCAGTGGCCCCCACTACACACACCTCGGGCCCCAGGGACTTGCCAGAGGTTTCGTAACTTTCATTGAAAAAAAAAGCTAAAAAATATGAATCTGGCCACAAGTGACCAAAGTCATGCAGAGGACCGTTACCATGGTGACCCTTCAGCTTCTGGGGGATGGGCGATGTTTCTCGGCCCAGGGTCCGTAACACTAGGAGCCGTTGATTGAGAGCGACCTGCAAGCCGTTCAGGGCCATCAGCCCCCCAGTGGAAGATTAGGGCCCCAGTTGGACGCCCGAGGAGCCCAGTAGATGGGGCTTGGCGGTCCAGTGGGGGGATGGGGTAGTGGTTGGGGGTCCCCTCTAAGTCATGGCCAGCTGCATTGCTGCACTCACACTGCTTGAATCCACCCCC